GTGGAAATTATGCAAATCCTCACTAGCTCAGTAGCTAACGAAATGACTTGGCATAGAGAACTCAGTGACTTGTTGTACAAATCTTGCCACCAGTGATTATTTTCCTATAGCGCCCACATAGCCATGATGGATTGGTAGGTAGGAGGTTGTGTCTATGTTGACGAGCAACGTTTCACGTTCATATGATTTTAGGAAGCTGGGGAAAATTTGTAGCTCAGGTGGATGATTGTATATACTTAAAACATACCTCACAGTCTGTGGAGATTCATTGTCTTAACTATCGTTCAGTTGATTATTCCATGAAATGTGAATGTCATGTGTTATTATCAAAAGAGGACTCTAGTCGTTTATTATAAACTGGGACCAGTTACGCGGGAGCACATCCACGTTTCCAAACTAGCTAATATACATCGCTATGCCTTATTCTAAATCGGGTGTAACCATTTCAACTTTGTTAAGAGTTGGATATCTTACATTCAAGTTCATTGAGGACAGTAAGTAAGCTAGAGACTAACTAGAGTACTCTTTATAGTGTTTCTCAGTCATTTTAAATATTTGGGTTGAAAATAGATTGCATCCCGTGTTTTATCGGATAAACATTCACTAACATGGATTATTTTGAGTGAGTTTATTCATTCTAAATTCATCAAATTGGCATAATTTACTCATTAAAAAAGTAATTGAACAGATTGAGTTGTCTGTTTCATTTTTGCTTTTCAATAGTAGATGAATAGGGAGACGTGGATATTTGCTCAAACTACTTTTACAAGACTGTTAGGACCCTGAAGCTGCATTCAATTTCGGTAATGAGCAAATAGAAGTCGTCGAAAAGTTCATGTAAACAGATAATTGCTGGTGGTACTATGAGGAATTAGAGTGGCTTATACTAATCTGAAGTCTTTACAGCCTTTTGTGATGTTAATCAGGCTGTGAAAGGTTGCATCTATATTGCGTCGATGAGTGTAGTTTTATTCTATGCTTGTGAGATTTCGCCTCTTCCAGTCGACGAAGTTAAGTAACTCCCTATGTTCGTCCATTGTTGTTTATGAGAGACAGCTAGTATTCAGTGATAGTGCCATATGTTCCTGTAGGACCTACCATGCCAGGCAGGTCGCTTGGAGAACGATGAGACTAAAAGCAGCTACTCAAGGTCTGAGGGTGAAGTCACACTGACAGCATTAAAATGATTACCTTCGGACAACCAGCATCTGTAGCGACTCTGTCTCCTAACAAGGAAGGAAGGAAGGAAGGGTTAGAAAAGGTCGACCCTAAAAATGTCACACCTCACCTAACTTCACAGATTCCCGTCTCCTGCGGTTAGGCCATTTAAAGAGTCAGGCTAACGTGAAAAACGTCTCGTAAAAAGGCCGTGCGTGACCGGTCTCAAGCAGTTGTCCCTTGGGCTCTGAGGTCACGATCCCATGTCGCTAAAATCAATACTAATCTTACTACTTCTTTTTTAAGTTCCTCAATAAACACCCTCCCATGGTGTGGGCAACCCGGGGGGGTGACATTCACCCTCACAACCGTAACAACACACGAGAGCAAATTAGTCACAATTAGATCCTTCATACACCTCTGAAATTTTTTTCATCATATGAAATTATGGAGACTTTCTGACATTGAAATCATGAATCGATTAATGTTAGATAACCGTTAGAAGCCCGAAAGCACTAAAATACGTCCATTTCATCCTAAAATAGGACAGTGTGTGCATCGATGACGCACAGAGAGAGAGAATCAAACCCACAACCTTCGGTCCCGTGTGCACGATTGTTTAACTTCACGACCACTGAGCCGATATTTAAACGAGTGTAATTGTCTCTATAATGAAAAATCATGAAAATGTACACAATGGTGACTAGCCTCATGAAGAAATTCTCAGAGTTCTAGTGAGAAGCCGTGTACAGTGGAGTTCAACCATGTCGCGAGTAGGCACTTACTTACCTGCTGAACACCTTGGATTTGGTTGAGCGAAATCTTTAGATTAATTGAATTTGGACATTAACACCGTTGGATGTCGGCTCAGTGATTTAGATAATCAGCGTTTACACAAGAAACCGAAGATCCTAGATTGGATTTGCTTTAGCGGGGTGAAGGATGCGCACTGCCGCTGATGAGTCCCATACTGAGACGAAACAACTTCATCTCAGTGCTTCTACGTTTCTAATAGTGTTCTAACACTAATCGACTGATGATTTCCGTGAAAAAGAATAAACTAAGTTTGAAATCAATAAGATTTTAGTACTGAAGATCTGAAATCATTAACAAGTGGACTGAGTCATGTTGGTAGATGTCGATTACCTGGTTGGGATCCTCGAGATGAAAGTCATCAATGGTTAAAGACCTTGAATGACATGGCTCAAAATCGTTTACAATGGCGCAAGTGTATCCACTCTTTGTGTTCTCGCAAATCCTAAACTTCCGGAATTCCTCATCATCTCTATCTTTCTCTTTCTAAACTTATCTCACTGAATCATATCTTCACTCCCTCATCTTCTCCATTACTGCTAATATTTCTCTACTATCGCTACCCCGATTGGATTTGAACTGACAGTTGCGTCTCTGCGCTAATGTGGTATGGCAACTTGGACTGATGTACGTACGTACGTGCGAAGTTCTACATTGTAAATGACTGAACTGACTGACTGACCGACTGACCGATTGGTAATTCCAAAGTTAACATTAATCCATAATGGAATGTCAGTTTTTTCAATACCATTTCAATATGGTTTATAATAGTAATAATAAAAGTAAATAGTTTCGTTTACTATTGCAAGTGTACGTCAATATGATCAGTGCAGTACAAAATGATCTATACAATACTAGACAAGAAAACGACGAATTGCGGGAAAAATCCAATTGAAACGAAACACACCTAGTGATATTCGAACTAATGTACAGACACACACCCACACACACAAACCCACACGTACATGTCAGTAATACTATCAGCATTAACTCAGAATTCAACTTCCCAGTAAAATCAGTGTGATATGCGCGTCAGTAGAGAATAAACACCTCACTTAACTTACTTGTGAACATGTTTTATGCATACAAAGGATATGCTTTGTTAGTTAGTTGGTTAGTTAGTTAGGTAGTGGGTGTCACGTGTTCACAGCAGAAAAAACAAGCAATTGCAATGATCACATGACTCAAACGGAAAGCTATCACAATCACATGACTTCTGAGACTAACAAAACAAAAGGCATACAATGAATTATTCAAAGTCATCTGTTTTGAATCGGTGCTAAGTATGAGTGATTTCACTACGTCCGTCTGTTGACATTTCTACAACCTGTTGACCAATGCCAAAGTTAGGATGTCATGACAGTTCTAATGTAAGGAATGGAAACTTGGAGAATCACGAAAGACATAAACCACAAAATACAGATGTTCATCCAAACAGTTGTCTACTTCAGATCCATTGGCCAGACACTATCAACAACAACCTACTGTGGAAGAGGACAAATCAGATTCCTTCAGTGGAAGAAGAAATCAAGAAGAAGCGCTGGAAGTGGATAGGACACACATTGAGGAAATTACCCGACTAAGTCATCAGGCAAGTCCTCATTTGGAATCCTCAAGACTAAAGGAGAACAGGAAGGCCAAGGAACACATTACGCCCGAGAAATATTAACGTACATAAGAAGAATGATCAACGATTGGGCAGAACTAGAAAGGATAGTCCAAGACAGAGAAGGTAGGAGGCCGGTTTATCATAAGTATCGGAATCATCATCAGCAGTCCACATCCACAACCAAGCGGGGGGGGGGTGAATCAAAATCTCTTCGAACTTTTGTTTCTGTTTAGGTGGCAAGATCAAATATAATCAGTAATTCAAAACACAGAATTAATTAATTATCCTGATTTGATTGACAATCACTTGAAATGCTCATCGAATCAGTTACATTAGTATTGACACAAAACAGCGTTCACACAATCAACTTACTGCTAAACTGTCACTTACGTAACACTAGTCACACTGTAGTGAACGAGAACACAGGTGAGGCAACCAAATTGTATTTAACGAAAATCACAGAGTTACTCAGTAAAATAGGAAAACCATATCGTAAATCGTTCATTTGCAAAATATCAGTTCATCATATCGAACTGGACTGTTCCTGTTGCAAAACATCAATCCATTGTCATTCACTATTCATGCGTTTCATACAAATTCCATTGTGTTCTAACTCTTCCTTTCTTGATCTTCGCCCCGCATCTTCTACTGCCAGACATTACGTTGACACTCACGTCATATACTACTTATAAGTAGCTCGCACCACAACACGTACTATACTCTGGAAAAAAACTACTTATCGAAAGAGAAAAGTGTAAGTGTTACAGATTGACTTCTTTACAAGGATAAAGTCTAGCCGAACAAATATTGAAATATGTATATATATATATATATATATATATATATATATATATATATATATATATGTATGTATACACATACTTACAATCGAGTTCAACCCTGTCAAGTGTGTGAAGCACTCATAACCAAAGACAGCGATGGATGAACGTTGTGCAACACCATGGATTGATCTAAGTTGGACATCAATGCCAGCTAAGTAATCTAGAGACGTTAAGCTTTATTAGCGTGTAAGAAGACACGCTTCGACTCCTGCGAGTAGCGGGACTCGTAGGTGTACACGTACTAACGAATCCCCAAACTAGGAATAAACAATAACTAACTGTCCAATGAAATTTGAAAAAAAAAACATTGAATAGAAATATTGAATATTGAAATTTTATTTTATTTTATTGTTTGATTATTGAAAGCAAAATTCAAACAAACGAACAAACAAACACAATGTCTCAATATTATTAATAATAATAATAATAATTAAAGATTGTACAGCCTAATAGTGAAGAATTTTTAAAGCTTATTAATTGAATGAATAAATGAATGAAACAAGAATAATTCTATTTTATTAATCATGTCTACAATTACAAAACAAAACCATTCATTGTGTTCAATATTTTTCATTAAAAGCAGCAATTAAAATAATACATGAATATATTCGAAATGGATATACAATGTGCAATGTTGTTGATAAGCAAAACAAAATTGAATAATGAATAGATAGATTTGGCGGCAAAATCAAAAACAATAATACTGGATTGTTACTTCGCTCTCTCTCTCTCTCTGTGTGTGGTGTTTTTCAGTGGCATAGGTGTTTTTGTAGAGATAAAACATTGTGGGGAAAAGCTAATAAGCAAAAATAACAAACTCATTGATATTGTATATAAGCTTACAAATATTTATATAAACAAATGTATGTTTTATAAATGTAGGTGAATTAGAAGCCGGGCAAATAAAGCCCCCCTCGCCCCGCAAACAAAAAAAAAGAGAATAAACCGACTTACAATCCAACAGCATGCAATATGTATCAGATGTAGGCGGGCGGAGAAAACAAACATTGAGAAAAAAAAGACGAAGATCAATTGATGAATTGGTTGGCTCCACCAAGATAGCAAAATCCTTTTTCTTTTTCCTCCTTTTTCAACGTGTTGATCGAACAACAACTCTTTCTGTACGCACAGATACACAACGTGAACTCATAATGGCTAAAATAGCTACTTGCATTGCAAATACTCCACCAACAGTCGCCAAAAAATATGACCATATATGATCGAATTTCCCAGTGTAGACTAAAATACCAGTAATCAAACATGCTGTACCCAAATATAATAAAATAAAACGTGCAGTCACATAACCTGCACTAGTAACAATTACATCGGAACACAATCCAATTAAATCCAGGATAAAGACCACAGCTAAACAAACAACTCCAATAAGTAATAAAGCTATAATAGCTATAATGACATCTTTTTTATAATCTCTTTGACATGTATCAAACAATCCTCCACATCGCCATTGTGATGTAGCCAAACCAATAACAATGAGAGTTATAGCAAGTCCAAGAAGTATAGTAGATAAACGACGTAATTCAAGCATATTTTTAATTTATTTAATCAAATTTCAAGTAAAACTTCGACAACAATAGCACCGTACACACTCCACGAAGAATAGACGTTGACAACGAGTGAAAATGTAGTCTAACTAAAAAAAATTCTCGGTTTCTCGATTCACATGATACAACCAATCTGGCACATTGATTGATCAACAAACCAATCAGAGATATTCATGTTAATTCATGCAAAGAGATAGGGGGGTGTAGAATAAGATTTGTTTGGTGTATAAACTTTCCCTCAATTCTTAGAGAGCTTAAACTGGAATAAGCCAATCAGATTTGTAAATTAGGCTTAAGTGTACTAGCCAATCAACGTTTAGATGGAATATCGATCGTGAATAAAACAACCAATTATCCTTTGAATTGGATTGAAGTTTGAAAAACTTCCATAACGGGCTTGATCATCATCATAATCATCAGAATTCTTTAGGGTTTTGGGGAATTATTGTACAAAAACCAAGAACAGTGTTATAGATGAAATGTTGATTATTTTTAGCGCGATTTTATGAATTAAAAGATTTTCGACTATGATATTACTTATTACAAATTAGTCTATACACACTTCTTGAATAAATTTTTCAATCTAATTCCTTGTCGATGTTGATTGACTGATTGATACTAATTTCGGAGAACATAAAATTATATATTTGAAACGGTGAAAGAAGTTATCAGCTCACAATTGTAGCCATATATATCTTTGCAGTCAACTGACTGTTTGTTCGTCCATATCTAGTCGTTGGTGGACTTCCTTCGCTTTTCTGCTATGCTGTTGTAGATAGTTTGAATTCACGTTTCGGTGATTCTATGGATTTCGAAGGATTTGTACTTTTTAGCTGCTTATCACTTTCGATTTATGCTGTTTTGACTTAGTTGACGCTGATTACACCTGTTTTTCCAGCTTTATCTACCGTGATGGCTTTATAGTTTCTTCTAGTTACTTTAAATGGACCATCGTGGATCGGTTGTAAGGGACATCACACGATATCCCTTTCTTATAAATACATGGATACTTTCGTTCAGTTGCTTTGGAATTTATACCCCATGTTAATTTTTCTTCGGAAGCGTTATTCTTAGATCTTTCAGACGATGTACGTAGTTGGCTATATCGGTTGGAACACATTTACCTGAGGTGAACAGTTCTCCTGGTAGACGTACGGTAGTTCCATAAACCAACTCTATATCTTGTTTAATTGTCTATCCTAAACTTAACATGACTAATGGGAGCTTGCTGACCCGATCATTGTTGCTGATAACAACTGAAAGAGATGCTTTCAGTTGTCGGTGTAATCTCTCTACCATACCATTTGCAATCAGATGGTAGGACGTTGTGCGAATACGTCTGATTCCGAAGAGTTCTGTGAATTGTTGGAAGAGGTGACTTTCAAAATGAGCTCCTCTATGCATAATATGAGTTCGAATGTTCGACTCAACTTTTAGCTATAATTTCTGCTGAAATATCTTTTATGGCTACGAGTCATCGCGTAAATCTATCGATACATGTAAATATATAACTGAAGCCATTTGAATTTGGCAGTGGTCCCACACTATATCGATATGTATATGCCTGAATCGGCTATCCGAATGATGGAAAGGACCTACTATGGAACTAGTTTGACAATGAAATTTAACTTTCTGACATTTTATACATGCTTGCGTCCAGTTACGAACATCTTGGTTCATATACTTGGCCATACTAAACACTCGCTATTTAGATTCGAAAAATGTTTCGTCTAAACGACTTCGGAATACATGGTCTTGATCGACCTGATCAAGCTTAATTCATATCTTGGATTCATTACAGCTAGACATTAATATCATTAGATGCCGCCTCAGTGATCGAAGATCTTGGTTTGGATTCCTGCGTATAGTGGTCATGGCTGTGCACTGACACTGATGAGTTCAATACTAGAATGAAACAATCGTCTTTCAATGCTTCCAGGCTTCGAATGGTGTTCTAACAATGATCGATTGATGAGTTCAACAAAAAAATCTTAATTTAATCGGATCATCAGAATTCTCTCTAATTAGATTGTTTTCAAAGACAAAAGTAAAAGTGTACAGTTCCATAACAGATCAGGAAATAACTTGGGTGATTTCTCGAATATTCTTAGGGATTCAATCATCCTACCATCTTTTGTGGACTATTGAAATTATGTAAAGTAAGATTAGGTTTCCCTTGTTTTAATAAAATACCTCAGATCGCCTAAATACTGAATTGATTAGCGGGTAAGGTAATTTTGTGCATCTTACGCATTTTATTATTAGTGTTGAGAGGATTTTGTTCCCGGATAGATTGCAGTTCAATCTTTACTTATGCGTTTTACCTTTTAACGAAACATATGCCTCCAACCAGTATTCTCCAATCTACTTTGTTCTCCACTGTCTTTCCCAGTTTAGTTATTTCATGTATGTCTTCATTTCTCGGCGTAATCTGTTCCTTTGTCTTGACAATTTCGAGTTAGGATTCGGCTTGTGATGCAGTTGAATGATTTCTACAATGTGCGTTTTATGCAGCTTTTACGCTTTTTCCCAAATTCTTCATCACCCGAAGGAATCTAATTTGCTCAATAGGTTTTTGTTCATGGTGTCTGGTCATCGGATCTCCAGTATCTTACTTGCTTACTTACTTACGCCTGTTACCTCTAATGGAGCATAGGTTGACGACTAGAGAACTATTTAACTGGTTGGCATTATTTTAGCCAGTTGGATTTCCACAGGATGGGGTAGCTAATCCCATGCACAACCCACCTTCTTTATCCTGGCTTTGGACCAGCAGTAACCTTTCTAACGGCTCCAGATGGAGCCATCTTGCATAGAAAACTGGTAATAAACATATTTAGCTTGTGGATAATGATTTTCATGGCTGTCCAACTTTCCACTCCATACAATAGAACTGTCTGGTCGTTTGCATTGATCAGATCAAGAAACAGATCAAAAATGAGGGATACAATCAAAACAAAAGTGCAAACAACAACAGATTTAAGGATAAACAGCAACCAGTCAAAATCGAGGTTAACAGAATAAGCTGTAAGGCAAACATGGAGAAATTCGAATACTTCACTTCTATCTGATCTCTTGTCGTTTGTATTGAAAACTGTGATTTCAGTGTTTGTTGATAGTTGTTTTTGAGTTTTAGATATTCTTCAATTGTAGAAATTCAACCCTTGCTTTGCCAATCGGCTCCTTCACTTGTTTATCAATGATGCTATTCATGTATGTAAACATTTCTACATCTTCTACAAACTTGTCCGTCAAGTATGATTTGGCTACTTACTTACTTAATTACGCCTGTTACCCCCAATGGAGCATAGGCCGCCCACCAGTTTTCTCCAACCAACTCTGTCCTGGAACTCCGCCAGTAGAACCTTAGGGGCTACTGCCGGTCCCAAGCCCGGATAAAGGAGGAGGGTTGGACATGGGGTTGGCGGCCCCATTCCGTTGAAATCTAACTTGCCAAAAAAACGCTAACCAGAAAAAATAATTCAAACCATTTTAACTCTGCCCTGGGAGTTGGAAGAAGAATTATGACGTCTCGTGATGAAAGCCGAGTCCCCTCGGAAGTCACGGGGCTGATGCCTCTTCTGACAACCAGAGCAACCATTTTTTTAGGTACATGGAACGTTCGTACATTGTGGGAGACTGGAAGACTATTTCAAGTTGCGGCAGAAATGAAAAGATACAACCTCGAGGTGCTCGGCATCAGTGAAACGCATTGGACACAGGTTGGACAACTGAGACTTGCTTCAGGGGAACTGCTGTTATACTCTGGTCATGAAGAGGAAAACGCTTCACATACACAAGGAGTTGCACTGATGCTGTCCAAACATGCACAAAAGGCACTAATAGGATGGGAATCTCATGGACCTAGGATCATCAAAGCATCCTTCAAAACAAAGAAAGAGGACATTACAATGAACGTCATCCAATGTTATGCACCTACCAATGACTACAATGACGACGTTAAAGATCAATTCTACGAAAGGCTGCAGTCAATCGTCGAGAAATGTTCATCAAAGGATTTGACGATTCTTATGGGAGACCTGAATGCCAAGGTTGGAATGGACAACACTGGATATGAAGACATCATGGGACGACATGGACTGGGAGAAAGGAACGAAAACGGTGAGAGATTTGCAAACCTATGTGCCTTCAACAAACTGGTCATCGGTGGCACAATATTCCCGCACAAACGCATACACAAAGCCACATGGATTTCACCGGATCACACTACTCAAAACCAGATTGATCATATCTGTATCAACAAAACGTTCAGAAGGACTATGGAGGATGTGAGAACCAAGAGAGGAGCTGATATAGCTTCAGATCACCACTTGCTGATCGCCAAAATGAGATTGAAGCTAAAGAAGCACTGGACAACGGGACAGACAACATCACACAAGTTTAATACGGCCTTTCTTCGGGATACTGTAAAGCTCAACGAATTCAGGGTAGCCCTCACCAATAGGTTCCAGGCCTTTCAGGATCTACTCAATGGAGAGGACGCAACATTGGAGAACAATTGGAAAGGGATTAAGGAGACAATCACTTCAACATGTCAGGAGGTCCTTGGTCGCAAGAAGCAGCATCACAAGGAATGGATCTCTGTTGATACTCTTGCAAAAATTGAAGAAAGGAGGAACAAGAAGGCAGCAATCAATGTCAGCCGAACAAGAGCGGAGAAAGTTACCACACAAGCTGCATACACAGAAGCAAACAGGGAAGTGAAGAAGAGCATCAGAGCTGACAAACGAAAATATGTGGAAGATCTAGCAATGACAGCGGAAAAGGCTGCAAGAGAAGGAAACATGAGACAATTGTACGAAACAACGAAGAAGCTCGCCGGGAACTATCGTAAACCAGAACGACCAGTGAAAAGCAAGGAAGGGAAAATAATCAGCAACACTGACGAACAGCGAAATAGGTGGGTGGAGCACTTTAAGGAACTATTGAATCGACCAGCTCCACTGAACACACCCAACATCGAAGCAGCATCCACGGACCTCCCAATTAATATTGGCGCACCTACGATTGAGGAGATCAGTATGGCCATCAGACAAATCAAGAGTGGCAAAGCAGCAGGACCAGACAACATTCCAGCAGAGGCAATGAAAGCAGATGTGGAAGCAACTGCGAAAATATTTCACATTCTCTTCAAGAAGATTTGGGATGAGGAACAAGTACCATCAGATTGGAAAGAAGGATACCTGATCAAAA